AGTGAAATATTTCATATAAATTACAAGTTGGAACAAAACAAAAACAGCGTGTCACGTTTCAATTAAAAAGCAGTGCGCTTAATATACCTTTACGAAAATATGTCAAAACAGCAATTCATTATTTCGATTCTTTAGCAATAGTAAATATATAAGATTAATTATATATATTTATTTCAAACAACAAGAATGAAAAGAACTAGTTTGAAATCTTGTGTGTATTGAATTCCTCGTAAAATGGGTAAAAGTGTGCGCCACACGTTATACTAGAAACATTGGGTGTCATTTAAGTAATTTATATGTACAAATCATTGGTTTTATCATGATAGCTAATACTTTAAACATAATTTTGGCGTTTCTTAAAAAAAGCAGCTACAATTGTTTCTAACGCGCAAAAATCCTTTCATAAAGGCCCATAAAGCCATAGAAATGCTTTTATCTTTTAAAGCTCTTTACTTATATATATATTTTTACTTTTTTTTATTTTTATTTTTATTTCCATTATCATTAACCTGAACTATCGTTTGCTTCTGTTAATTTTTGCCAATCGAGTACGGTGTTAATAATTTAGTAATTTGTATGAAAGTCAAAATTTTGCTACAATAACAATTTTAATACTTTCACATTCACCACTACTTTCTTTAGAAATATAGGCAAAACAAAAATGTAAGTCTGCACAAACTGCATGATATAATAATTATGTATTTCAATTTTTTTTAAGACTTGAAAAAATATACTATCCGAACTGTATTTACAAAGGCGGGAGTAGGGGATTATTTAGAATACTACATGAAATATATGTATAAATACCTATAAATAATTAATATCATTCCGAAAAAAAACACTAACAAACAAATATACATGACACTTTAAAGTGAAATATTTCATTAAGATTACAAATTGGAACAGAATACAAAACAGCGTGTTCCGTTTCAATTAAAAAAGCAAAATAAACAACAACAAAAAAAAAACAGCAATTTATTATTTCGATGCCTTGGCAATGGTATATCTATAATATACATGTATATTATATGTTTTTGTTTCAAACAATGAGAAAGACAAGCCTTAGGGACTAGTTAGTCGCTTGTTCTTATATTCGAGTGTGTACCGTACTTCTCGGAAAATACTATAAAAAATGGCTATACTCGAATGCTTTCGACAATAATAATTCAGGGTTTTTTTGTTTTGTTTTTTTTAATTTTTTATATACTGTGGGTAGCTTGTATAGTCACGGGTACTCTGCACCTTATCTCGTTAAAATCAGTTGAGAAACAGCAAAGTTTGAAAAAATGTGCGTGTTCCTTACGTGGTATAACTACTTTCAATCCGTATTAACTCCGAGGTTATTATAGATAATAGCCGTGACGTTCCGATTTATCGCCACACGATATACTTGAAAAGTCCGGTGCTATTTAAAAATTGACAGTTAGCTTTTAATTAACTATTAAAGAACTATAAACATACTTTTTGGCGTTTCTTAAAAATGCTTTTGATTTTTTAGTTTTCTATTTTGAATTCTAAAAGTGGCTGATCGGTCGTACCGTCGTTTGCGTATGTTAATTTTTTTATTAAGTTGTGATAGTTATTTTAAATTAGTATTTTGTTTAAAAGTCAAATACAACTTTGTTGACATTTTTGGTTAGTAATTTTACATTCACCGCTTCAAGTCAAAAGCGGCTGCATGCTTTAAGACAGTTAATTAAACGTTATAAAACCCGTGTTCGCTCTGGTAAAAAGTAACTCGCTTCTGAGACATAATGTGCCTTTAGCATTCAGTACAGACCCGACATTTAGGGTGGAACCGTAGCGTGACATAATATTTTAAGGGGTGAATCGAGTGCAGGAAATATAATATGCTGTATTTCTCACTAAAATGTTCTTTGAATGACATTAAAATATTTATCCGTTTTATAATAATCATGTCAATTTATCCGTTTGATAATAGTCATGTAAATTACATCAATATTTTTAGTACTTTGATTTCATATGTGACGTCAAAGCGCGCACTGGCTAGACTGTGTCTCGCGTAAATTTTGTCTACGACAAAGGCTGCGACGTCGCAGAAACACAACGTCTGCGACACGTTTCATAAAACGGTCGTACGACATTGTCGCAGACGTATGACACCGACAAAAAATTGTCGTAGACTACGACACGTTGATAAAACGGATTACTGGATTACAAACCTGATACTCTCTTTATTAACCAAGATAGGCGAACTTACATAGAAGTGAAACATGTGGAAATCAGAAATCAAAGGAAATAATAAATAATTATATACCGCACATTTATGATTAATGATGGGTGTTAGTAATAATTATAGCTCTGTGAATAATAATGATTCTCACTGATGTGTTTTTATCTAAGTATTAAATGATCCATGCACGAGGGTACGATTCCCTCCCCAGGCAGTATTTTATGCTGGTGCAAACGGGACAGATAGCCTGGAGGTCCCACATGTTTTCATTTAAATACTGAATTTAATAAATAAATAAATTGATTAAAGATATCCTATGCTCATTATTGAGTAAATTATTTTGATCACTTTTGACCACATAAATTGGTTGAAATCGATTAAATCCTTACTGAATATGTCAAAATTGAATAAAAGAATGAGTAAACTAGGAAGCTTTGTTCGTAACAAGTAAAGTTGATATTTCCTGCCAGTATTTAAATGCCACTTTATAGAAGATATACAAGTTATCGCCACTCATAAAATATTTATTTTCATATCACTCGATGAAAATAAATCCCGAACTTGAACTGTCTGTTAATTATATTCATATTTCCTTTTGACATTTTTATTTAAAAGACTAGCCCTTAAGTGTTGTGTTTTAAATTTGTTACTAAGCAGGCAGGCAAGACAGCAGTAAAGATATGAAGAAAATTTGTATCACTGCACTGAAAAATATTTTAAAATTACGAACAAAACTCTATTATTTTTCTCGTGGCTAACGTTTTCATTCCTGATACATTCAAATTTGGCTTTTGATATATTCTTTTCTAACGAGAGAATTGCAAAAAAACACTTGAGAAATTTAATATTTTCTGAAAGAAAACAACAGTTTTTAAAAAGAAAATGCGTACTTTGATAAAACGTTGGTATAAAATGGACAACTGCGCTTGTGTTTGTTCTACATCCGCATCATGTTCTGTTCGAATGCTTTGCTTACCACGATCTAAGATAGATGTTTATGTCTAAATTCATGGAATTAGATAATAAATTAGTTAATCTGAATAACAAGGAAAAACTTTCTCTTGTTCTCTCCAACAAGGATAAAAGGGAAACTGTCAAAACCAGTTGCGCAATTTTAAAAGAAAGAAATAATTTGTTATATAAATAACATTTATCTAACAGTATTATTTGTAATTTTATTAATACTTCTTCTTTTACTTACTTGATGTTATTTTATGTGTAACTTACAATAACATTTTTATGTTTTAGTAAATTAACTTTTATAACAGACTAAAGTACTTTTGTTATTTAATTTTAGTTTACTCTGATTAAAGTAAGACCCATATTTTAAACTATTTTTCTGATAACAGGACATTTTGTCATAGTATTGAGTTGTCAGTGTTTTACTTGTTGATGTAGATTTTGTTAACAGATTAGCAAGGGTATTTAAGCTTTTAACTGTTGATATTTAGATAATGTATATAATAAAGTGGTGTATAATGTAATTCTTATATACATGTAGTTATATTTGGATTTATTCAGATGGACAATACACTGATTTATATGTTTATTAATATTTGTTCATGTCGGGTATACATTGATAAGATTTCATTAAGAAATAAATATACGAGAGTTAATTAAACAGCTGTTAATCATTCTTTTTGACATTTGGTTAAACCTAAAAAAGGATGTTTCTTCCAAAAATTGTTATGGGCATTGGAATTAATTTTGGATGTGGTTAGACATTCAGTTCAATTTTTATAAGGTAAAATATGCATGGAAAAGAGAGGTAACTCTTCAGTACATATTGGACGTATTTGCAATATGGGTTGAGGAGTTGTCTCCCGTTTCAATATGAATAACCTTCGGATTTTCAGTATTTCTCTATGTACATCCTGCATATTCGTGGTTTTATTTTATAAACGAAACGTTTTCATTATTTAACTTTTTTCTTTCAAATTTTGTTTTGATTAAACGTTTATTGTTTCAGTAATGATTTTTTAAAATCTAAAATGACATTCAGCATGTAAAAGATAAACAATTTACATTGAGTGTAAAAATGAAATGTAAAGAAAGTATTGAGTACAAAATGAATTGTTCTGGTTGTGTGTGGAGTTTAAAATTGGCTTTAGACCCCCCAAAACTTCACACAATGTGATGGGAAGAGTAAAACAATAACTTTAAGGTCTATTTCTAGTTATTACTATTATTTTTGTTTGTGAATTAAAGACGGGTTAACAAAGGTTTCGCAGTGCTTTATATTTTTTTTAATCATAGTTGTTTGCATTAAGTTTAAGATAAAACGTTTATATAACATAATAACTTGTTTTTTATGATTTTATACTATCCATTATTATGTTTTATCGTATTTGTAATATTTCACATGACGTTCTTTAAATAACACTGTCAAGAGTGAATATTATTACAAAATTAATACAGTTAAATGTGAAAACAAATAATGGGGACACCTAAAATAAAAAAAGAAGTTTTTCTACTTTGAAGAGACATCAATATCAATATACTTACAATTTAATTTCTGTATTTACAGAAATGATTTTTTCTCAGCTACAAGAAATAACTATGCCATGGTTATTGAAGCATTGCTAAAATTTGTGTATGTATTGAAATATTTGAAATAACATATGCAAGTTAACTAGTTTTACTTCGGCTAAGTATCTTGTTTTAAGGATATTTTATGTTTAATGTATATAGACAAGAGTGGAGTAATAGAAATAAAGACTCTCGAAGGATACAACAGTTTGCGATTTTCAGAAACGTTTACTACAAAAATTTCGATCCTTGATTACATAAACAGTTTTTGTTATAGATATCAAAACGGGAAATGACATCTCATATAAATACGATTGGTTTTGTTGAGAAAACATCTTTACCATTAAGCACATATGTTAAACATTTACGTGTGTTCAAATATATAAAAGCAAAAATCAACAAGGCAAAACGACAATCACGGGACGCAGCTCTTATGGACAACAAGCCACAGAGGACCACCTTTTATGTATCGATTAACATGGCGAATAATTTAAACAAGTTACAAGTTGATAGCATAATGTTGTTAATGAAACAGCACGCCCATTTTATTGGACGTGTAATGGATTTTACATGCAATGACCAAAGGAAATAAAGATTTTATTTTGACATTGGTGTGTTTGAAATAGGAACGGCATCATACATTTAGAATTGTATTAGTTTGAATAGTAGTAAACGTGGATTATACATAATGAAATAATAAATGGAAATGTATATTGTATTAAAATACATGTATCTATTTGTGTGATAAACTATTTATCTAAATTTAGGCTGTTACAAAGGATTATTTTACTCATAAATATAATTTTAAGGATAAGCATTTGTACACTAATTTCAGGAATATATACAATAACTGTATTATTTATGATGTTGTTTTACACTATTATGATTTTCTTTAAATATATGTTTGAAACTGTCTGATCATAATATATGTTTATATGTAATATATATTCAGAAAATAAATGTGTTATACTTTAGATAGTATTATTGTAATTATACATACGTTGTCTAGAATATTGTATAGATGTGATATAAACCAATGAAGAAAATAGCTGACTTCATGTAGATATATATACCCGGTAAACATGAAATATGCAACTGTTATAATTATGTTTTGAGATGTTTCATGTTATACAATGATTAAAGTTGAACAGACAAGTCCCATACATCAACAAAGGTGCCCTCATATCCCTGTATCAAACCCTGATTTTCATAATCCTCATTTTTCACTGAAATTGGAAAAAAAGTAGATATCGTCCCTGGTTTTCTCATGGCTGGGAATTTCACCCTGTTAATTATGTTCCGCTTTGCTTAAAAGAAAAGATATCATCTAGATGCAAATGTAAAATTTTCTTGAATATCTTTGCTGACTTTCTATTTTATTAAAGTGCGTGTCAGTTTAAAAGTTTATTTCAAATTTATCTTATTTTGTTATTTTAAATTTATTTTATATTGTAAGTGTTAGTTAAAAAGTTTATTTTTATTTTATTTCATTTTGTTCATAGATAGCAGAAGCAGAGGGGTGATTTATAAATGTTACATAACACTGAAGTATGATAATATTCAGGATTCAGAAGTCAAGTGAATTTTTTTTGCATTGATGTGTAAAATGATACTCTCTTTGTCAGTCTAAAATATTAAATGAGTCATGCATGAGGGTTCGATTCTCTCCCAAGGAAGTACGTTATGCTTAGACAGATAGCCTGGTGGTCCCACATGGCTACATTAAAATATTAAAGACACTGTATGAATAGATAATTTTCAAATTATTAAAAAAATTATTAAATTCTCCCGCATTTAAATTCCTCAATGTTCGTAAAATGACAATAAAATAATTTTATTACTTTATTTTAATTCCTATTTATCATTATTTTGGCTTCTCTTTATACGCTCTTCACACAAACCAAAATACAATATATTATTCACAAATAAATTTTATATTTTTATTGAAGGTATACTTGGTCTTTTGAGATGGAACAAGGTCATAAATCCTTCAAATGTCACATTAATTCTGATATGATATAAGTTCGAACCTCAACCACATACATTTAAGTGGTGGCGTATTCTACCACACATCCATACCAACATAACCATGTATGATACAGGTGTAGACTTGTTTTTTTTTTTTGGTCTCGAATCAGGTCGTAAATTCTTCGAATATCACATTAATTGTGATAAAATATAAGTTCGAACCACGACCCCTTACCTTGTACGACAAATCTAGACCCCTATGAACATTACATATATCTATAGGTGGTCTTGTATTCTAGCTCACATCCATACCTACACAACAATGTATGAAACAGGTTCAAACATATATGGTACTGAGAGATTAATACACGACAGTGTATGGCCGGAAGGTGATAATCGGCCCGCGAAATGAACAATGGTCCCGAGGGCTTCAGCCCCAGGGCATTATTCATTTCATGGCCGATTATAGCCTTCTGGCACAACTATGACGTGTATTGATGTCTTTGATACACTTGATCAAAGATCTTTAATTTTATATTTAGCTGCATAACTTGACTGATCTAATAGTAGGATTTTTCTTTAAAAAAATATTTTGATATTTCTTTAGCTGAAAATTCCGTCTCTGTATTTTTACTGTACTGTACAGAGTGGTTTACTTTTTGTTTGTTCAACGTAAGATTGAATCAAGTTCTAAGCAGGTTTCATTTTCATTGTATCAAATGAATATGTTGTATTATTTCTTTACATTTTAATAATTTAAAAACTGTGTATATACAAAATACGCTATTTAAAGCTCTCATCATCAATGAGAATCTGTTTTCACTTTCACAGTTAACTGTTTGATGACGTAAAATATGACGTCACTGTTTCAGTTTGTGCACGTGCACGTGATAACTAGTTCTCGGCCAAGGGCTGCAAACTCATAATAGTTCACATGACACTCATAATCAGTCGAAATTAAAGGCAATTTTGTTACTATATATAGTAACAAGTGTATTAAAGGTGTTTATTTGGCCTTTGGGGCTAGAACCAATTCATTTTTCCTTCTTTGTGATAAAATATAAGCTCGACATCGACCACTCACCCTGTACGACGTGCCTTGACTCCTATGAACCACACTGATACATATAAGTGGTTTAGTATTCTAGCACACATCCATACCGACACAACCATGTATGATATATTTGTATGCTTGCTCTTTTCGGCTCGAATCAGGTCGCAAATCTTTCAAATATCACATTAATTGTGATAAAATATAAGATCGATCCTCGACCACTCTTATTTTACGAGGTACCTAAGCCCCAATGAACCACACACATACATTTAAAAGGTATCATTCTTAATCGCACGTCCATACCTACACAACAATGTATGATACAGGTGTAAACTTGGTCTTTTGGGCTTGAACCAGGTCATAAACCCTTGATAATTGTGATAAAATATAAGTTCGAACCTAGCCCACTCACCTTGAACGACGTACCTAGACCCTTATAAACGACACACATACGTATAAGTGGTCTTGCATTCTGGCACACATCCGTACCTACAAAAAAATGTATGGAACAGGTGCAAACAAATATGTTTCAGGTGTATATTTGGCGTTTGGGGCTAGAACTAATTCATAATTCCTTCATAATTGTGATTAATATAAGTTCGAACATCGACCACTCACCTTGTATGACTTGCCTAGATCCTTTTGCACCATACAAACACCTAGCACACATCCATATCTATACAAACATGTATGATACATGTGTATAGTTAGATTTTGCGGCTCGAACATGGCAGTTAATTCATTAGATATTACCTAAATTAAGGTAAAAAAGTTATAGTATTACCTTAGTTTCTTTTCGTCCGTCAATGAAATTTCCATATATAATCATGCTAAACGTAATATTATTACTTTATAATTAGATTTATTTTGATATTAAAAAGACACTTTCACTTAAATTCCACGCCTTTTTTCGATTAATATAAAAAATACACGCATATAAGCATATCACACTAACCATCTGATCTTTTTTATATTATATGGCACAAAGGCCCATGACCAAGGGCAAACAACTTAGTTTTTCTCCCATTGTAAATACAATTATAAAATTAATTATATATTACCTTATAACACATAATATTCCAACACTGGAACCAATAGGACAACACGGGGATGCATAGGACTGATGAGGACGAATAGGAGTAGACATGGGAACTGACAGGACTGTATGAGGCTAATGAGGACGAAAAGGACAAATGAGGACAAATATGACTAGACATGGGGACTGATAAGACTTTGATCAGGACAAATAAGACTAACAAGGAAGAATAGGACTAGACATTGGGACTGATAGGACTGGAGTAGGACGGATAGGACTTCGATAAGGACATATAGACCTAAAACTAAATCATTTTTGTCTCCAATAAGTCCTCTTACTTGTCCAATTAGTCCTCGTACTGTCCAAAAAGTCCCTGATCCCAGTCCAATAGGTCCTCGTTCTTTCCAAAAAGTTCTCGTCAGTCTTATAAGTCCTTGTTTCGTTCTGTAAGTCCCTATGTTTTAATATTAAGTGTTATTACGTAATTGTTACAGGGTAATATGTAATCAATGTATTATCTTACAAGGGGAGATAAGCTGAGTTGTTTGCCTTAGTTCAATATCATAAAAAATGATCAGGTGATGAGTAAAATATGCCTATTTGCTTGTATTTTTTTATTTAATCGAATTAAAGCGTGAACTTAATATGAATGTGTTACTTTATTACTATAATAAAAATGAAGTCATTGTATTACATAACCCTTCATTACCTAATTTTTGTGAAGGACTTATGGGACATTTTTTTATAAAATATTTTTTTTTTAGAAATAACTCAAACGTGAAGGGTAATTGACCATATTTGGTAAATGATTATAGATAGATAGATAGATTTATTACAGTATTCAGTAAATAACATGGTAAAAACATATCCAATACAATAAAAACAAATATCAATGTAAAGAAATGCACCATATCAAAAACATCATACCAAGGATAACACAAGAAAGAGAACTTAATCTCTTATTTCAATTGTGGTCCTTATATACTGGTGGTTTTGACAAAGAGAGGCATGAAAATGACTTATCACAGTTTTAAATTAAAGAAAGACAATAGTAAACATAAAATTTTCAAATTAAAATAAATTAATAAAATAATAAATATTAAGACTACAGGATAGGCACCCTTAAAAGAGATAATTACCCATTAAGTAAATGTTTTTTAACAGATAATTTAAAATTGTTCAATTTTGATTCCATCCTAATAGAAGAGGGTAGTTTATTCCACAATACACATCCATTGTAAGCAAAAGACTTTGATCCGAACCCTTTGACCTTAGGTAGCATATAATATCCACTTTCACTTGACCTGGTCCTGTAAGTATGAACAGAATCTAATGGAATAAAGTTTTCTCCCATATATTCAGGGGCAAGTCCATGTTTTATTTTAAAAACATTACATAGGATGATTTGATCAACTCTTTTCTGGACAGGTAGCCAATTTAAAATTTTAAAGTGTTCATTATCAATATGTGACCTATAACCAAGATTTAGAACAAACCTTATTAATTTATTTTGTGTGACTTGGAGTTTATCCTTCCAGTATTTAGTAACCCCAGGAAACCAGAAACAACATGCATAATCAAAATGACATTGGATGAGGGCCATAACCAAAGGTTTTTTAGTGTGAAATGTGAGATAATCACGTTTTCTATACAGAAACTTTAACCTTGCATTGGCCTTTTTAATAATAGAACTTGCCATTGCTTCACCGGAGAGAGACTGATCAAGTGTTGCACCTAGATATTTGACATTAGAAGTTGACTGTATATCAGTCCCTTTACAACTGACATGAAGAGATGAACCTGTTTTTAACCTATGTTTAGAGCCAAATAATATTGTCTCTGTTTTG